TTTTTTTTTTTTTTTTTTGGTACCAGGGATTGAACTCAGAACCTTGCGCTTGCTGGCCCAGCCTAGCCAGTTTTAATCAGGTTATTTTGTTGTTATTAAGTTGTAGGAGTCCTTTTATTATAAGAGTTATTTCCTTATCAGATGTTACTTGCAAATATTTTCTTCCATAGGTTGTCATACTACTCAGTTGATAATGTCCTTTGATGCACAGAGGTTTTTAATTTTTGATAAAACTTGGGTTTTTTTTCGTTTCATATGTTTTATCCAAGAAATCTTTGTCATATCCAATCCATGAAGCTTTCCCATTTTCTTCTAAGTTTTATGATTTTAGATCTTAAATTTAGTTCTTTGATCTATTTAGAATTAATTTTGTATATGGTATAAGTTGTGGTTCAGTTCATTCTTTTTCACACAGATATCTAGTTTTCCCCACACTATATATTGACAAGACTCTCTTTTTTCTATTGGGTGGTCTTGGCACTCCTGCTGAAAATCATTTGGCCATGTATATGAGGGTTTATTTCTGGATCCTCAGTACTGTTGCATTAGCCTGTATGTCTGTCTTTATGCCGTTGCCATACCATTTTAATTACCTTAGTTCTCTAGTAAGTTTTGAAATTAGAATGTGTGAGATCTCCAACTTTGTTCTTTATCAGGATTGGTTTAGCTGTTTGGGGTCCCTTGTGATTCCATATGAAATCTTCAGATGGAATTTTTCTGTTTCTGCAAAAAAATTTGGAATTTTGATACACATTTCATTGGATCTGTGATCACTTTATGTAATAATCCATAAGTATTGGGTATTTTATTTATTGGTGGCTTTTAAATTTTTTTCAGCACTGATTTCTTCTTTTCAGTATATAAGTCTTTAGCCTTCTTGGTTGTTTATTCCTAAATATTATTTTTGATGCTATTTAAAATGGGATTTAAAAAATTTTGTACTTTGGGTTGTTCATTGTATTTAGTAATAGAGTTGATATTTGTGTACTGATTTTGATTTTACAGCTTTGCTGTATTTATTAGTTCAAACTTTTTTTTTTTAAACTGGGGATTGAATCCAAGATCTCACTGACCTACATCCAGAGCCCTAAGTTTTTTATTTTGAGACAAGGTCTTGCTAGGTAGCCCGGGTTGGATTCAAACTTGCAGTCTGGTTCAGTCATCCAGATTGCTAGCATTACAGGTGTGAGCCATCATACTTGGCTCTAACAGGGGGAGTGTGTGTGTGGTTGTGTGTGCACACGAACATACGCATGTAATCTTTAGGATTTTCTGCATAAGACAGTGTGTTACCTGTGGTAATTTTACTTCTTTTTGGATGCCTTTTTTTTAAAACTAATTGTTCTGGGTAGAACTTCCAATATTATGTTGAGTAGAACAGATGAATATGGGTATCTTGTCTTGTTCTTAACTATTGAATATGATGTTAGCTATGGGTTTTTACACAGTGTTTGTGTTGAGATAGTTTCCTTATTTTTATTGTTTTTGCCATAAAAAGTTGTTTAATTTTTGTCAAATGCTTTGTTGTGTATCGGCTGAAATAGTCATGTCAGTTTTCTCTTCTTGTTAATGTGGTATATTGTATTGATTTTCATATGTTGAACCATCTATGTATTCCAGTATCTTTCAATATACTGCTAGCTTTGGTGTGCTTGTATTTTGTTGGAATTTTTATCTTCCTTAGGTACCAAAGTGATATGGGCCTTATAAAATAAGTTAGAAAGTGTTCCTTCCTCTCCAATATTTTAGAGTAGTTTGAGAAGAGTTGGTGCTGATTCTTTAAATTTTTGGTCAAAATCAGCATTGAAACCTTTGGGTCCAGAGCTTTTTTCATGGGAACTTCTCAGTTACTGATTTAGTCTTCTTACTGGCCTATTCAGTTTTTTTTTTTTTTTGCTTATGATTCAGCATTGGTACATTGTGAGTTTTTGGGAATTTCTTTATTCCATCTAAGTTACCCAGTGTATTGGAAAAATTTTTACAAGCACATTTTCTAAATAATATGTAGGGGAAGTGACAGAGTAAGCATTATTATAGTTTAACAAAATTATGGATGTTTATCATGGTGCTTCTATATCATTTGCTTTGTCATTTTACCAGTAACCCTATGAGTAAATAATACAGATATTAGTTCCATATTATAGGGGAAGAAGCTAAAGCTCCAAAATGCATAAGTAACATGGCTACTCAAACTGTAGAACAGAACACTTGACACATACTCTTGGTAGGGATATTAAGAAAATACAAAAGTAAAGGAGCATATTAAGAGCTTGGGGATGTGGGATGTTTTTGTATTTATCAAAATATAACAAGTTTTTAACTAGATAAAAAAGTACCACACAGTGTCACCCTTTCATTATTCTTCATTGTTTTTAGTCATCTAAAAGCACTATTCCTTGTATCTATTTAAGGAATCGTTTAAGTAAAGTAATTACAGAAAAATACTATGCCCAAAATTAAGGTTAAAAAGGTAGATCTTCAGTTTAGATGTTCAGAGCAATACTTTGCTATAATAAATTTTTGTTAAATTGCAGAACTCCAAATGTTTTAGATTTCTGAGAATTGTTTTCAGCTAAAATTCAGAACTTAAAAATTTTGAGTTGTCTGTTTTATTTGATCAAATATTGCCTGTCATGTAACTTGATTTTGCTACTATTTTTAGTTTCTTATATTTCAACTTCATTTTGGCTCTATATTACATTTTAGAACAGTGAAGAATTGTTTACTCTAAGCTGTTTTATTTTTCAGGTTCCTAGAAGCCAAACCAAACTGACAATAATGCTTGAAAAATTAGGAATGGATTATGATGGGCGGCCTCACAGTGGTCTTGATGATTCTAAGAACATTGCCAGAATAGCAGTTCGAATGCTTCAGGATGGATGTGAACTTCGAATCAATGAGAAAATGCATTCAGGACAGCTAATGAGTGTGTCTTCTTCTTCACCAATAGAGGGCACTCCAGCTCCACAAATGCCACATTTTAGAAAGTAACATATTTTGTCTGTCCATCATCCTAACTGGAGTTGCTACAAAGAGGTAGCAGATGAATACTAATCAAATTAGTCCTGCAGTGTAAACTTCAAGCACCTTAAACATTTAAAATCTTATAACAGTTGTGATAGGTGTGTGTATGTGTGAGTAGAATTTGTCACCAGCACTTTTGATATGACAGCATGTGTTACACAGTAACAGTAATTTAAGTTGTCCCTAATGTGCTCATTTTGGTTTTAAAATACATAATTTTATTGGCTTTTTCCTTAAATTTCATAGCTTTTTGATGTTGAACTAGAGTGTATGTCTACATTAGCATCATTCTATTAAAGCATTTCTTAAAAATGCAGAAATATGGAAAGGCAAGCTTTATCTCCATTTGAGTTTTGAAGTTTATGTGTATATTTCGGCCACAATCCTCCCTCATTATACTCGTTCATTCCAGGACTGTTGACACTGAAGTCCCAGAGGCTCAAATCCTTCACGTAGAGTGGCATAGCATTTGCATAGAACCTGCATACATGCTCCCATATTACTTTACATCATCTCCAGATACAGTACCTTATAAAATGTAAATACTAAGTAAATAGTTTATGCTGTGTTATTTAGGGAATAATGACAAGAAAAAGAAGTCTAAGTGTTCAGTACACATAGAAGCATCCTAAGCCTAACCGTACCACACACAAACCCAGCTGCAGGATGTACAGTTCACACCAGGGGGAGCATGAGGATCTGAAATGGCAGGAGGCTGAAGCAGGGTGTGCCACACAGCACTCCATTTCTGTGGATTCGACACAGTGCTTGGCACGTTTTGCCTTTTGGAACGCTTTCCCTAAATATTTTAATTCTGCAGTTGGTTGAATCCATGGACATAAAACCCTACAGATACAAAGGGCAGACTAGGATAAATTTCATAAATGACAAGTCATGTATCTGTCTGTTTCTTTTCAACTTAAAATTGGAGTATTTGTGATGGCTTATACGGCCTGATTTAAAATGTACTGCTAATGAAATTACCATGAAGTCAGAGGAAAATCCATTTAAATGAATGCCGTAAGGGCTGTAGCTCAAATTTCATAATATATGAGTGGGCTTTTTGTTTTTGCTTTTGGATTTGGTTATTTAGGTCTCCTCCATCTAATGATTTATATCAGCTCTAAATTTAAACCTAAGAGATGGTGCTTTGAAATAGACTTTATAGTATGGTGTCACCATTTAATTTTACATTTGTATTCAGTATTATAAGGAAGATTAATAAAGTCAAGGTTTTCTACCACGTCTTAAGTTTTTTTTATTAAAAGCTTCATTGGCCAACAGTGGAATTTGTTCAGTGAAATATTTGCTTGTCTGAATTTACGTTGTGAATGACCACTGCATTTAAAAGGTACCATTTTAGAGTTGATAAAATAATTACGTGGTGGCTAAAAATAAGTATTTTTGGAATTGAATTTCCCTTACAGCTTTTTGACATTGCTTATTTTACCTTTGATAGTTGTGGCTCTTTTATATAGTGATTTATATATTATAATCAAGTAATTTTCTTAAATGTTTTTCAACTCAGGAGAAAAGTAGGAAAGCAGACATTTTTTTTTTTTTTTTGTCATGAGAATTTGCTGCACAGGGCTTTGATCCCCCCCATGCTCCCGACCCTTGAGTATGGGAATTAAGTCTAGGGGCCTTTATACTGAGCTACATCCCCAGCCCACCCCCTTTTTTTGGAGACAGTGTCTTGCTTTGTAATCTAGGCTTGTCTTAAAGCAGTCCTCCTGCTTCAGCCTCCTGAATGCTGGGATTATAGGCATTTGCCATGATGCCTGGCACCCCCATCCATCCATCCCTGAGGCAGGTTCTCACTAAATTGCTAAATTGCCCAGGCTGGGCTGGAACTTGTAGTCCTCCTGCCTCAGTCTCCCAGAGTGCTGGGATTACAAGCACGTACACCACAATGCCTAGAAAGGTTGTGGGTTACAACCAGAGCCAGTGAATTTCTGCCTCTGAGTAGCATTCAGCATAACGAATGATGTGGAGGTAGCCAAAGACGCAGAATGGTTATCCTTGACAGTCATGGAATGTAGTCAAAGAATCTGGTATTTCGGGTTTATACATAAAACTCTTGGGCTGTGAGGGAGATATGCTGAGATATTTGTGAATCACAGCATTTTGCAGCATACTGAGAAGTACTATTGGAAGTTTTTAAGACTTTCCTGCAAATCCTCACTGTTAGGACAAAGGAATAGGAATTAGCAAATTCCTGTTGATTCTGGAAGCTAAGAGGTCTGCCAGCCTTATTCCTTAGGGGATTTCCCTGCGCAACCATCTTCTCATAGGAATGATTCACACCCTAAACTAATTGCTTCTTCCCACTTTCTGAATGACTTGAGTAGCTGAAAGTGTAACTGAAAAATCTGAGAATGGCAAGGATGTGTTAAATGCTTCTATTTTTAATTTTTAAAATTTTTTACGTATGTGACTAAGTGCTTTATCACAGAGCTACATTCCCTGGTCTTTTACCATTTTTTATTTTAAAACGGTTTTGCTAAGTTGTCTATATGGGACTTAAGCTTTGAAATCTCCTCCCTCAGCCTCCCAAGTGCTGGGATTAGAGATGTGCCACCACACCCAGCTTTGTTATTTTCTTACTTTTAAATTAAGCTACTTATTTCTTGGCCTAGTTTCTTTCAAATACCCAAGAACTGACAAGCTCATTTCTTTTGAAGTTCTTAGTCCCTTTTGGTCTCAACCAAATATTTTACTTTCAACTTTTTGGGGGGTCATTGTTGATTACTCTTTAATCACTGCCTTTCCCTCCATTTTGATTTGAGATTTTGCTGAGGTGAATCAGTTCTTTCCTGATGAGATGTTCTTTTATTGTTGTGTTTGTTGTTCTGAGTCAGGGTATTGGCTGTATAATTCAGGCTGGCCTTGAACTCACTGTGTAGCCTAGGCCAGCCTTAAACTCTCAGCAGTCTTCCTGCCTCAACCGCCAAGGTGGTAGAATTACAGAACACATTACCAGGTTTGGCTTTGATGAGATGATCTTAATCATCAGGGATACTAATATCTCTTTGTTGTTATTTTCTGTTTTCTTTAAGGTATAGAATGCAGATAATTCTTTTTATTAACATTTATGTTTGATACTGGAGATGAAACCCAGGGCTTTGTGCACGCCAGCCAAGTGCTCTGCTACTGAGCTATACTCATTACCTTTTTAATTTTATTTTGAGAAGGTCTTGCTAAATTGCCCAGTCAGTTCTGGAATTTTGCAGTCCTCCTGCCTCAAGACCTTGAGCAGCTGGGATTGCAGGTGTGTACCACCACACTCGGCTGAATACAGATACTTCTTGGTAGGGAAATGTGTATGAAGTGAATGCCATTCTGGTATCTCAGCCAAGGCAGTATTGGTCTCAGCCTTCTTGCTCACCACATGCTGTAATGATAACACTTACTAAAGCAGATATGGTACATGCCTATAATCCCAGAGGCTCACGGGGCTGAGTAGGGTCACAGGTTTGAATCCAGCCTGAGGAACTTACTGAGACACTCACTGTCTCAAAAACAAAAAAGGGCTGGGGCTATAGCTCAGTGAAGAGGTCCTGGGTTCAATCTCCCTCACCCCGCTCCTCATTAATAGGTATTTGTTTTTATAAACAATTATTTTTTCTTAATCACTAGCTATGTTAATGTCTTTGCTTTCTATTTTTCCATTTTTCTCTAATGAGTTAACATTTAATTTCTGCTTTGTTTTTTCAAATTCGCAATCTTTAGCAATAACTAAAGTATACCAGATGTGTATTTTATGTTTGTTTTATCTTCTTTTGAGTAAAATACGTAACATTTTGCTCTAAAAAAGTTTTTTTTTTTTTAACTAAGGGAATGAAAATATTTTTCTGATGTATCTTTTTTGCCTTATGTTAGACCTGTTTATTTTGGCACGTGGGGACAGGTTTTTTCTATTTGGATTGAAGTGAAAAATGGCAGGAATGACTAACATGTCACATATTAAAAGGACGATGCGAATCTCTGAAGATTATTTTTTCTCATTGAATTTATTGGTACTTTTTAGGTATACAGTACAGTTACAATCATTACAATCTGGTACCTTTACATGACAGGTCTTGGTTCTCATTTTTTTCCGCATACCCCTGTCCTCCCCTTACCACCTCCTCCCTTCCCTATTTACAAAAACTTTTATTTCCATTTTTTCATTTTCTCAGATTTTTTTTTCATTTTCTCGAATTTTTTTTCTTTTCCTTTATTTCTTTTCCCCTACCCTTCCCACTTCCCCTACACCTTTAGCCCTTTTCTTCCTATTTCACATTGTCAATTATACCATTAGGATCTTATTTATAGTTACACCAAAGAAACTATTCGGTATTTACATGTGTGACTTATTTATTTCACTTAAGAGTATGACCTCAATTTGCATCAATTTTCCTATGAATGACTTTAATTTCTCATTCTTTTTTTGGGGGGGTTGGTTTTTTGAGACTGACATGGAACTCACTTATGTAGGTCAGGCTGGTCTCAAACTCACAGTGATCCTCCTGCCTCAGCCTCCTGAGTGCTGGGATTACAGGTGTGCACCACCACGCCCAGCCAATTTCTCATTCTTTATGGCCAAGTAGTAGTCCATTTTATAGAAAAACCACATGTTCATCCAGTCTCCCAACTGATGGGCATTTGGACTATTTCCAAGTTTTAGCTATTGTGTAACTGTGCCACCATAAACATGGGTGTGCATATATCACTATAGTATGATTCTTTTAATTCTTTTGGAAAGATACCCAGCAGAGGGATGGCTAGATCAAATGGAACCTCTAATCTTAGTTCTTTGAGGTATCTCCATATTGATTTTCATAGTGGTTGCATCAGTCTGCACTCCCACCAACAATGGAGAAAGGTTCCTTTCTCCCCGCAACCCCGCCAATGCTTTTTATTCATTGATTTCTTGATAGCAGCCATTCTTTCTGGGGTGAGGTGGAATCTCAGTGTTGTTTTCATCTGCATCTCTTGAATGACCAGTGATGTGGAACATTTTCTCATATATTTATTTGCTATTTTTACTTCTGTCCTAGAAATGTTTGTTCATTTCAGATGCCCATTTTTTATTTGGGTCTTTACATTTGGGGGGCCTGATCTTTTTGAGTTCTTCATATATTCTAGATAATATAGTCCTTTGTCTGAGGAGCAGCTGGTAAAATTTTCCCGCATTGTAGGTTGTCTGTTCTGTTGATGGTTTGTTTGCAATGCAGAAGCTTTTTAATAAGATAAGATCCCAGTTGTTGATTCTTTGTTCTAGTTTCCGTGCTACTGAGGATTTGTTCATAAAGTCTTCCTATGCCAATGTCTTCAAGAGTTCTGCCTAACTTACCTTCCAGCAAATTTAGTGTCTCTTTTTTAATATTTAGATTTTTAATCCAGTTGGATTTTAGTTTAGTGCATGGTGAAAGATGAGGGTCTAGTTTTAATCATTGACATGTTGAAATTTAGTTTTTCCAACACAATTTAATAAAGAGGCTATTTTTCCTTCACTGAGGATGGTTGGCTCCTTTGTCAAAGATGAGGGAGCTGAGTGTATCTGGAGTTGTTTCTGTATCTTCCAATCTATTCCACTGGTCCTCAGGTCTGTTTCTTTGCCAGTACCATGCTGTTTTTATCACAGTGGCTTTGTAGTATAATTTCAAATTGGGAACAATTATACCATTGCCATGTCTGTGTTGCCTAGGATGGCTTTTGCTATTCTAGGTCTCTTCTGTTCCCAAAAGAATTTTGGATTATTTTTTTCTAGTTCTGTGAAATATACTGTTGGAATTTCAGTCATCATTGCATTGAATCTGTATAGCAGTTTTGGTATGGCCATTTTCACTGTGTTGATTCTTCCTACCCAGGAGCAGGGGATATCTTTCCATTTTTTATATCCTCAATCTCTTTTTTCCGAGTGCTGTAGTTTTCAATGTAGAGGTCTTTTGCTTCTTTTGTTAGATTGATTCCTAGATACTTCATTTTTTTGGCTGCTTTTATGAAAAGAATTGTTTCCCTAATTCCTCTCTCAGTGAGTCTGTTATTTGTGTACAAGAAGGCTATTGACTTTTTTGAGTGTTAACCTTGTATTCAGCTACTTTGCTGAAAGTGTCAATTAAATTGTCTAGAAGTCTTTCGGTGGAATTTTTTGGGTCTTCATTGTAGAATATATAGTCAGCAAATAATGATAGTTTAACTTCTTCCTTTCCTATCTTGATTTCTTTCTCTTGTC